TCCAGGATGTTAATGAAGTACGTGGCCCTCAGCTACAAGACGAGCCAGCTAACGTCTTGGCTGAACTGCACAGCTCGTCTGCATGAACCCTGAGGCTACATCACCACCCATGTTCCTTTCATTCACTTGATGAAACATTGTCATGAAACTAACCGTTTTTTTTTTCCCATTCTGAAACTGTGAAGGACTGACTGACTGTAGCATTTGCAGGCATGTGTGGGTGGGTAACAAAATGCGAAGAAGGAAAAGAAAAGCACATTTTGAATGCGGCTTGAATATGCAATAAAGCATATAGCATGACATCTTTGTAATGGAAATCCAAGCTACTCTGTAAAGTTGCTGTGGGAATACGAAAGGAAATTCGGGGGAAATGATTGGGGGGGGTTGTTAATGCAGCTGGGTGAAGTCCAATGGTCACCTTGGCTCGTACCCTGAAATTAATAGACCAGATTGGAGAAAATGTTAAGTGTGTTAAGTGATCCTGGGAGGGGGTTGGTTGGGGGGTTCGCCGCTGAGATGGATCCTAGCTTCTCCCATTTTGGGGTTGGCTCATCATCCATCACCACGCACCCCCGTGCGACCCCACTAACCTCATTAATTTGCCTCCCCTAGATTAGCCCTCCCTCAGAGACCACAAAGAGCCCCTACCATTGTTCTCGACGGCTCACCCACACGGCCCTGAGGTCTCAAGTAATTCAACTCTCCACGAGGCAAAATTGAGGGAGAAATTAAATTATGTTACTGTGGGGACATAGAACAACGGAGAAATTCTGGCTTTACTCCAGCAGGCTCTTCGTTGCTTCCCTTATGATTTGGCATCTTTGAAAAGCTCCGGTGACCATTTACACATGGAGAAATAATGCTTTATGCTGCAACATGTCCGCTGGCTGATTGGGGTGAGTTGCCTTTAAGTACATCTTGGAGGATGCTCCAACAGTGAACAATACTTGTGCCTGTACATTACGATAGTATGTCCTATTTAATGCCAGCCATCTTGAAATTCCCCAATCTCAAAAACAGCTGTATGGGCACAAATCAAATCCTCATCAACCCTTCAAAATCTCTGGTGATATTGGATGATCAATTCAAAGTAGCAAAACATTAAGTGAGAATGTAATAGTTAACGATGGGGAATTTACGTGTCTTTTGTCAATACAGCCATCGTTATGAACCAAGACTTTAAATGTCTTCCTCCATCTGTCCTTTTCCGGAGGGACACCAGCGGTTCTTGTCATCAATGCCCAATCCGGGACACAGCAGAGGGTTTGGGTGACTGCCTCTGGCTCTGCTATTGAGCTCCCTAATTAAACTATTAATCTCACATCATTAACCCCCGATGACCCTTTCCTCCATCCATTCTGACATTGCTGCACTGGCTTATGAAAACAACTTTCCATCAAATCTCCCCAACCTCTAAATTGTGTTCTTTATCTTGCAGGTGTTTTTCCACACACACACACACACACACACACACACACACACACACACTTCTTTCTCGGAGTGCATTTTCTGTTGTTCAGTTGTCCCTCCTCTTCATCCTCTCTCCATGTGCCTGTCTGTATGATGTGTGTGGACCACAGCTGTGCGCTAACTGCATTACTCTCCAAGTGGCTCTCCAAGGTGGATATGGTTACTTTTAATTAAAAAAGAATCAATTTTCTATCCCTGTCAGTTTTTGAACTGGGTGACCATATGGACACTAAAAAATGCAATCCAATTTCTAGTCCCCCCCGTCCCGTCTGGCCACCCCTCTCCAAACCACTTTGGCACTTCAATCACATTAGTCCATTGTAGGAACTTTATAAATTGTCAAATCAATCAATTGCACTTGTCTTGTGGGCTGTTCTTTTAAGATATTGGTATTACCTGTATATCTACCATTGGAACTTCTTAGCAGTTTATCCATTGGTCAATAAAGAAACACAACAGCTCAAAAAATACTAACAAACTACAATTAATCGATTGGTGGTACGTGGGGGGGACATAAATAAGACACTCAAAGGTTGCGGCATGCGGTTTGTTGTAAAACGTCCCGTTAAACTTGTTAAGTTAATTATGGTCCCATTGTAATCCTCCTGCCACGGGGAGTGAAAAGAGCAGGCTTGGACACAAAGGGCCCGGTGGTCTTGCACTAAAAGCCACCCAGGATTATAACGTGAGAGGCACGAGAAGAGACACATACATCAAAAGCTTATTAAAGCCAATGAAATAACTCACAATGGCAGCACTACAAAAAGATAACCATTACATTTATGTGCTGGGTATGTATGTCTTTGAGGCTGACCTTCGTGGAGCAGGAGGCCGTACAAAGAGCTGGTTGATTAGGCCGAGCTCCCCGGGGATCGATGAGACGTCTGCGATCAGTACTCAGAGTAATCGCCCCGTATTGCATGCCTACTCAATGACGATGTAAGATGAACGACGTTACAGGGCTCCTACATTGATATGGCTGCTGGAGGATTTCTTGTACTTATTTGTGCTTCTAAATCATTATGAATTGTACTATTTTGAGTGTTAACAAACAAACATTAGAACCTTTGAAATGTAGCCACCCTAAACCAGCACACAATGCACTGTGAATGGAATAACATATACTTTCTTTATGCATTGCCTGCTGAACATTTTCAAGGAGGAGACAAGGACACCAGACTGAACCCATGTAATCAGAATCTTGCCAGGCACCCCGCCCATAATATCTGTCTGGTGTCTGTCCTGTAATACAGGAAATCCAAACCAGAACTATCAAGTTCACATAATTAAGTTGCATCAAAATTGCAGGCTGGATGAAATGCACACAACCCTGCCATTAGTGGTAGGTGTTATTTTTTGCCCCCCCGACGGTCTTATTTTAATTCTATATCTGTTTGCTTTGCAGTCTGGGAAATAGCAGGTCTAGGCATTTCCCTATGTGTGCTTAGATAAGACTACAACCACAGGTTAACCTGGGACCAGAGCCAGGCTTCTCTAGAAGTCTACACGCTTGTTTTATCTTCCCTTTAAGCTGAAATTCCATCTTTTCTCAAGTTCCTCATTTATCTCTGTGTGTTTGGGTGGATCGTCAATGAAAGTGCTTGTGCCCGCTTGTCAGGGGAGAGTATCTTTGTCTCTTAATTAAAATGCTTGGCTCAGGCTTTTTATCCGTAAATGATATGATTACCCGAATTTGAGACCAGGGCAATCTTGCTCTCATGGAGACAGAGAGCTAAAAAGGACTATGTATTTACAAAAGTAAAGATAGTGCAGAACATTGTCCAAACTAATCCATTGTTCATAAAACTGAACACAGTAGAATACAAGCTAGCTAGCTGTTTCTAGCTGTGTGAGATTCTTTAGATACCTCTGTATTGTTTGGCTACTGAATATAAATACAGGCATCAAATATTGTAGAAAAATACAAAATATGTTTTAAATTTTTTAAACAATTTTAAATTACTTGTAGCTCAACATAGATAAAAAACAGCACAATAGCAGCACAGCTTAATAATCACAGACTCGTCCAAACTCTGGGCCGCACTGCACTTCTGACAGACTCTGCAAGCCACATGCCATTCACTATTTTTATTAATTTAGCTTTTTGTTAAACAAACAAAATAGGTGAGAAATTATGCAGTATCTGATTAATATGGTGGAGCCTGCGATGCCCGTGGCATTACCTTTTTTCCCTTTATGATCTCTTAAGAGCATATGCATGTGAATCCATTCTGTGCATTCCCTTGATGGCAATTAAAAAGAAAGAAAAGAGGAGCACAGGTACACAACATAACATGACCATAAACAAGCAATAAAGAAATGACTGACACTGCAAATCTTGCTTTGTCAAGGAGAGTGCCATGGCAATAATTCACTGTCCAAAAATAGTCTTACAGTTATTTTATGTATTTCCTCCTGACAATTAATTATCAGAAATTCCTACTTTATTTGAATTCTTAAGAAACTGCTGTTATTCCGAGTTTTTTATTTTTTATCAGGATACAATGCCTCCATTGTATTCTGATAAAAAAAATAAAAACCTTGGAACCAGACGTATTGCAACATCTATCAAGTCTTACTTGATTTGGTCCGATCACATTACAGGCTGAGCAAAGACAGTCTTGCCAGACCACAAGAAAAGAAAAGAAGACAGGAGGGCAAAACTTTTCTGCAAGGTCAGGTTCACACTGATACAGTGGGAAAATCTAGACACACCGAAAGAGACAAAGATGACAACACAGGGCTGAGTGAGACAAGGCAAAGGGTAAAGAAAAAACAAATCCTACTGGACCCATGTATGAGAGCACAGGGCAGTTGGCGTGCTCGGTTGGGGGAATGGGAGGGGTTGGGGTATAATTGAATTACAGTGACCCCGTGACAGCACTATAGGTGGAGTCATGTGCTGAATTATATCTGTCCCTGACCCCGTCTTCGGCGGGGCAGTGCTTCTTGGCCGCTCCCGAGACCCGAAGGCAGAGCAACAGTCACGCATCTTTCTGAGCGCCTTCTTCCAGCCTAAAGCGTCATTCAGGTCGACAGACAGACGCAGAGGCTGATGGAGCATCACTCTGTGCACTGTACGCTTATTTTTAGCCCTCTATGCATTGGGACATGCATTAGACGCGCTGCTATTTATGTTTGTTGGAATCCACCAAAGACACAGAATGTAAATTCAATCTGTATTCTATTTTAAATGCACTGCACAGCATAAAATCGTGTTCTCTGTGAATGTGCAACAATGTAGTGGGTTAAATATCAACTAAACATTATACTGTGAGTCTCTTTAAACAAGGTAAACGTCTACAAAAGGGGCTGCATTTATTCAACTGATCACTAGGTAATCTAATACACCTGAAAGTAGTCTAAAATACAGTGCTTTTTACCCTCCCATTGTGTTTGATTGTTCACCATGTGTGTCGTAAACGAGGGCCTTAAAATCCTCTTACTGTCAAAATACTTGTAAAGCTTAAAACATAATCAGATTGTGCAGGAAGCAAGGCAGGCCTCCACAGGTGAGTGGGGTTACTTACTGTCTGCCTGCGAGGACAACACCATGCAGCTGAGTAGAAGCAGGAACGGCAACGCCTCTCTGGGCAGGAGGGGCACTGCCAGGTGACTGTGAGGCCCCATGTTCCAAGATGGCACTGCTCCCTCCTCAGTCCCAGCTAGACACGTCCCACTCTGACAGGATCAAAGACTAACACCTGGGAGAGAACAGGAGCACAGAAACATTAGTATTCAAACCCCACTATATATTTGCATATATTTGAAGGAGCATAATAACACAGTAATGCGGGGATATCAAACGCAAGTCACAAAGCAGAAGCAGAGGAGTTGGAAATGTTTGCGTGTTTGTAAGAAAAAAACCCTCACCCTGCTCTTGTAAGACAACAACAAGATCTTTGGTCGCGATCAACAAGGCGCCCAATACTAAGAACAAAATCCTGCTCGGGGCAGATGAAAATACAAGTGGAGCAAACGTAACACGCAAACTACATCAGCAGAAGAGTTAGGGAACAAAATGCAGTGCGGTGCAACAGAGAGAAATCATGGGAGGAAATAGCAGGAACCAAAGGGGAGGACAGAGCTCAGCATTAAGCTCCTCAGCCATCCTCTCACACAATGGGGATCAGTTGAACACCCAGAGGACCTCCTGAACAGGACTCCCTAAGGGCCGCCGCCCACTTAATGTTCCCCATCAAGAAATTGAAAACGGTGTCTTCCAGATGGGTTCAAATCACACTAAGTGCCATGATCTCATAACATGACAACATATATGTACATTTACATACAATACAACACAACCCAGGGGGGGGGGGGGGGCATGGTTGGTCAACAAAGCAGCAGCAGGTGCACCACAAATGAACCATAATTAACAGAGCAATAAAACAGAAAGCATTGCTCCATTGCCTTAAGTAGTGGGTGGTCACACACAAACAAATGCTGCCCCTCAGATTAAATTTATTATTATTATTATTTTTAGGATTAGATTTAGTGTAGGAAATGACTTAGCCAGCTGATAAGATTTGGACGTATGACCTTAAGTTTGTTATAGCCCGCAGTTTCGATGTCTAATGCTGTTATAAACATAGTGACTGTGTATCCCCATAAATTGAGCTAACTAAATTGCTTATCCCTACACTCTTGCCCATGGCCATCTGTGATGAGTAATCATAACGCTGTTATGAAGACCACAATATGGTAGAGGATAGATATCTCTCTTTTGATGGAAATAAAGCAGCATCTCCAGAGGACTTCAAAAGAAATTTACAAAAATGAGAAGAGTTTTTAAAGTTTCAAAGTAAGCCTACTTTTGTCTTCAAGGGCTCCTTGACAATGATTCTGTTCAAAGCTTTGACAAGAAGCCTATTGGAACTGAATTGAAAACTTCCTCGGCTCGTCTGCTCCGTCTCACTGTCGAGTTTATAGTGGCGACCGAACAATACTGATTGCTGATATTTGTGAAAAGAGAAAGAGAGGCGCTCGCAATGTGGAATATCTGGAGGCTTGCCGGGTGGCTAGTCAGCTTTCGTTCTATTCAGTTCAGCTAAATAAGTCAGAGTGTCAGATACACAATGCCTCCAGTATCTTGAGGTAAAGAAAACCGTTCCATTCTTAAGCCTGTGGAGGTGTTGAGTAGCCCATTACTCATGTGGCTACTTCAATGCGTGTGGAAACACAGGGGAAAGAAACGCAGACGTCGGGCAACTCTTCGACCACCCTCTTTGTGAAACAGAACCACGGTAAAACACTGCCAGGTAGAGATCTGAGGAAAGCTAAATTTCAATAGGTTCCTTTTTTCTTCTTGGCCGAGTAAAGCGATGTGAAGGAATGGTATGCGTGAGTCACGGTGTAGGGGCCTCACCTGAGCCCGGCTGCAGACAGGTATCATCGACGGTCAGCTCTTCATCAGATTGTCACTCGTAGGAATGTGCCTCTGGGCATTCATGTCTACTTAACTGATGCAACACACCTTGCATCTAAGGAATTTCCAAACACTGTGTGCAGCTGACATCATCTATCGCCAGTGGAAGTTCAAGCTGCGATTGTATCGAGCTGTATTATACATCTCCCTGCATGTGGACTTTTGAGAAATACCCACAAAGTAATGACGAATAAATTGAACACCTTCTGAGATTCCCTTGCGTCCTCACCTTCACTGCTAATGAGAAAGCAGCTCGTTGTTGCTGTGTTAAGCTGTGACAGTCTGGAAAAGACAAAGAAAACACAAATACAACCGCTCAGGGTGCCAAAGAGCTGGATCCCACCCCCACTCTGCAACCAGGATTACAGACATTTAGGCCTCATTTCTATTTCAACCTAATACCCCAAGTTAGCTTTTGCAAAACGGGTGTAACTCACATCAAGTTTGTTGGCTGACAAATTTGTTTTGACACTCATCTTTTTTGTACGCAACGTTGGTTCATGACGGCGGGTAGAGAGAGGGAGCGAGCCTGATGGAGTTGGCCACTCGCCGTGCTCCCAACCCTTGGCGGTGGAGGGATATCTTTTACAGCAGATGCCAGAGAGAGGCAGATGCTTTTCATCTTCAATGAGACAAATTCCTCGAGCGAGGTTTATTCTTTATTTATATAGCTGCTTATTTATCTCGTCGCAGCTCGGTGCCTACGCAAATACTACGGGGGAGACACTCGCCACAATGTGCATTTGTGCTACTGCGAGAGGGACAGGACACCAACGTGGAAACGGTGCAGTGTGATCCAAAATCTGAGGCAAGTGTCTCAGTAACACAGGAAACATTGTTCGCAACTACGTGGGAGCGCGAGAGAAAAACAAACAATCGGAACACGTAGGGGCGGATGGCTGGCCTTGTGAGATTGTATGTGAATCCTTCTGTCTCGTCAGTGACTTCATTCTGAAGCCTGGTTAGTGCACAAGTAAGAGAGGAAAGGGTGCGTGACGGAGGAATAGTTAGCGCTGCGTAATTGCGGCTACAATGATCATCCAGATTATTCCGCCAGAAATTGACAACCTAATTAATTAATAATCACAATAATTAGTCAGGATGAATTCGGGAGCTTATTTGGTTTACAGCTAGAGTAGGTTTTCAAAATGAATACAGTTTGAAACTGCAGTGCATGAACTAAATGAATGTTTTATAAACCAGTATGCCGAGATGGACTGAAGTTCTACATATTTCTTAGATTGCAAATGGTAAAATTATGGCATTCTAGCTAAAAAAATGTATTCATTACTCAATTGTGTCTGGCAGTGCCTCCTTGTTAAAGCAAAATAGAGATTTCTGGCACAAAGGTGCGCTGAGGAGAAAGCTCCAGAAACACTCTTTTTGTTGCATTCTTGTTATTTTATGGGATTTGATTTTGTCCTAACCAATCAGTTAGCACAGTTAGCCGGGTTTATGGGGAACACGAATTTGGTTTACTTAGATGAAGAAAATTATAGACAAGACAAAGTCAAACATTTGTTAGTTCCCTCCAGCTCATCATCACTCGTAAGTTATTTAATAAATCCAAGCTTAGAAGCTTCGTAGGCTCATGATTAGCTAATGTTTAGGAACAGCTGTTCTGAAACACTTAACAAAATGTAAGATGTAGTAGGTGATTAGGGCTAAACACAATTCATGGCGTAGCATTGGGTTTTGAGCCAGTTTGTCAAGATGTTAAGATCATGGATCCTATATCTAGAGAAAGAGTGGCTCCATTGTATCTAAGCACACAGAAACCATGAAAGAGAACAGAAGGTTATTAAATTAACACCGCTGTTGAAATAACTCTTAGCCACTCGTCATTTAGGAAGAGGACTTTGGAGTTCTAAGTAATGCAGTGCGTAACATATATTGTATATATATATATATATATATATATATATACGCTCACTAATAGATCACTAAGGTGAAGTAATTAACAAGAGAACAATGGTTTGTGAACATCCTAAACTGTAAAATTGCAGAGGACAAAGGCGCTTTTTGAGTGAAGGGAATAAACAGCTATCCTGTTTGCTTGCTTGCCACCCACATCAGGTGCCTGTCACTCAAGCCATTAACCCCAGTGTGTGTGTGGCAAGGGAGTGGCCACCCATACAGCGTTGGTTGTCTTACAAGCAGACAATGGTGAGATGAAACGAGGCCCAGCTGCGCAGAGAGCGTGCAGAAGCTGAGTAAACACTACCATTAAACTAACTGCAGGTAGCATCTCTGCACTCCGTCGTTTCCATCCCCCCTACTCATGTTCTCTCTTTCTCTCTGTTCGGGGGGGGGGGGGGGGGGGGGGGGGGGGGGCTGAGATATATGGCTAGCAGTGTGGGGAGCTAATCATGGCTGCCTCTGGAGGTGATAAACCCAGACCAGAGGGGTTTGTGTTGGCCCAGCCTGCAACGGCTCCATAAACACAGTTACAAGGTGAATTTCGACAGCAGTGTTTTGGCCCCTGATTAGTTTTCCATGCCCTAGAAAGCTCACCCGCACAAGTCTGTGCTCTTTTTTTTTTTACCTCAGGCCTGAACACCCACCATAAGACCCCAGGAGAATTACTGCAAGCCGACGAGCCCCGTAATGTAAAATGAAAGTGCAAAGTTACAAAATGAGGTTTTCCCTCCGACTCTGAAAGCCTTTCTGTACACACAGACTTGATGGTGCATGTCGTTTTTTTTTACAGGGCTGCAACGAGGCCCCCGCATTGAGATTCAAGAGTAATGTCCTGTGACCTATCAAGTTTTACAGCACTTTTGTTTACAAGCTGATTCCACAGAGTTAATTGTTAACGCCTTACTGCCGAGAAGACGACTGAGAGACTGAAAAGGCAGCTATAACAGATAAATGCACTTCCTTAAGTTGAGCAATGGAAAGTAAGCATCACGCTGATTATGCTGACCTACAATGAAAGCACTCGTGTAATAAATCACACGGTTAAGTGTCCACTCGTGTGGATGACTCAAAGAAGTCCATCAGGTAGTTCATTACAGTCAATTCAATAATTATGTATAATAATACTACATCCATGTCAAATATAGACATTTACAACACATGACACCGAGTCTCCATGACGCATCGTGATGCAATCCGTGACACGCGAGTGTTGGACTTATTAATGCAGCAGGCACCCAATGCCCTCGAACTTGCTTCTCAACAGAATGCAAAGACCACAGCACATTGGCTTCACCCATTTGATACAGTGTCGATTGGCATTTAGTCTGGTTGAGTGAACATTTAACAAAACTCAAGCAC